ATTTCCATGTAATATCAAGGGACAGAATGACATTGGACATGGCACCCACCGCTATTTCCATGTTACATCAAGGGACGTAAGGACATCTGACATGGCGCCCACCACTATTTCCATGTTACATCAAGGGACGTAATGACATTTGACATGGCGCCCACCGCTATTTCCATGTTACATTAACGGACGTAAGGACATTTGACATGGCGGCCACCGCTATTTCCATGTTATATCAAGGGACATAAGGACTCTGACATGGCGCCCACCGCTATTTCCATGTTACATCGAGGGACGTAAGGACATTTGACATGGTGCCCACCGCTATTTCCATGTTACATCGAGGGACGTAAGGACATTTGACATGGTGCCCACCGCTATTTCCATGTTACATCAAGGGGCATAAGGACATCTAACATGGTGCCCACCGCTATTTCCATGTTACATCAAGGGACATAAGGACATCTGACATGGCGCCCACCGCTATTTCCATGTTATATCGAGGGACATAAGGACAAATGATATGGTGCCCACCGCCATTTCCATGTTACATCAAGGGACGTAATGACATTTGACATGGCGCCCACCGCTATTTCCATGTTACATCGAGGGACGTAAAGACATTTGACATTGCGCCCACCGCTATTTCCATGTTACATCGAGGGACATAAGGACATTTCACATGGTGCCTACCACTATTTCCATGTTACATCAATGGACGAAATGACATTTGATACGGTGCCCACCGCTATTTCCATGTTACATCAAGGGACGTAAGGACATATGATATGGTGCCCACCGCTATTTCCATGTTACATCAAGGGACATAAGGACATCTGACATGGCACCCACCGCTATTTCCATGTTACATCAAGGGACGTAAGGACATATGACATGGCAACCACCGCTATTTCCATGTTACATCAAGGGACGTAAGGACATATGATATGGTGCCCACCGCTATTTCCATGTAATATCAAGGGACAGAATGACATTTGACATGGCGCCCACCGCTATTTCCATGTTACATCAAGGGACGTAAGGACATATGATATGGTGCCCACAGCTATTTCCATGTTACATCAAGGGACATAAGGACATCTCACGTGGCGCCCACCACTATGTCCATGTTACATCAAGGGACGTAAGGACATTTGACATTGCGCCCACCGCTATTTCCATGTTACATCTAGGGACATAAGGATATTTGACATGGTGCCCACCGCTATTTCCATGTTACATCAAGGGGCATAAGGACATCTGACATGGCAACCACCGCTATTTCCATGTTACATCAAGGGACGTAAGGACATATGATATGGTGCCCATCGCTATTTCCATGTTACATTAACGGACGGAATGACATTTGACATGGCGCCCACCGCTATTTCCATGTTATATCAAGGGACAAAAGGACATATGATATGGTACCAACCACTATTTCCATGTAACATCAAGGGACATAAGGACATATGACATGGCGCCCACAGCTATTTCCATGTTACATCAAGGGACATAAGGACATGATATGGTGCCCACCGCTATTTCCATGTTACATCGAGGGACATAAGGACATATGATATGGTGCCCACAGCTATTTCCATGTAACATCAAGGGACATAAGGACATATGATATGGCGCCCATCGCTATTTCCATGTTACATCAAGGGACATAAGGAAATCTGACATGGCGACCACCGCTATTTCCATGTTAGATTGTAGGACATAAGGACATCTGACATGGCGCCCACCGCTATTTCCATGTTACATCAAGGGACATAAGGACATATGATATGGCGCCAATCGCTATTTCCATATAACATCAAGGGACATAAGGACATCTGACATGGTGCCCACCGCTATTTCCATGTTACATCAAGGGACATAAGGACATATGACATGGCGCCCACTGCTATTTCCATGTTACATCAAGGGACATAAGGACATATGACATGGCGCCCACTGCTATTTCCATGTTACATCAAGGGACATAAGGACATATGACATGGCGCCCACTGCTATTTCCATGTTACATCAAGGGACGTAAGGACATATGACATGGCGCCCACCGCTATTTCCATGTTACATCAAGGGACGTAAGGACATATGACATGGCCCCCACTGCTATTTCCATGTTACATCAAGGGACATAAGGACATTTGACATGGCGCCCACTGCTATTTCCATGTTACATCAAGGGACATAAGGACATATGACATGGTGCCAACAGCTATTTCCATGTTACATCAAGGGACATAAGGACATATGACATGGTGCCAACAGCTATTTCCATGTTACAGCACGGGACATAAGGACATATTACATGGCGCCCACTGCTATTTCCATGTTACATCAAGGGACGTAAGGACATATGATATGGCGTCAACCGCTATTTCCATGTTACTTCAAGGGACATAAGGACATCTGACATGGCCCCCACCGCTATTTCCATGTTACATCAAGGGACATAAGGACATCTGACATGGCAACCACCGCTATTTCCATGATACATCAAGGGACGTAAGGACATATGATATGGCGCCCACCGCTATTTCCATGTTACATCAAGGGACGTAAGGACATCTGACATGGCAACCACCGCTATTTCCATGTTACATCAAGGGACGTAAGGACATATGATATGGCGCCAACCGCTATTTCCATGTTACATCAAGGGACATAAGGACATCTGACATGGCCCCCACCGCTATTTCCATGTTACATCAAGGGACATAAGGACATCTGACATGGCAACCACCGCTATTTCCATGATACATCAAGGGACGTAAGGACATATGATATGGCGCCCACCGCTATTTCCATGTTACATCAAGGGACGTAAGGACATCTGACATGGCAACCACCGCTATTTCCATGTTACATCAAGGGACGTAAGGACATATGATATGGCGCCAACCGCTATTTCCATGTTACATCAAGGGACATAAGGACATATGACATGGCCCCCACCGCTATTTCCATGTTACATCAAGGGACGTCAGGACATATGATATGGTGCCCCCCTATATTTCCATGTAATATCAAGGGACATAATGACACTGGACATGGCGCCCACCGCTATTTCCATGTTACTTCAAAGGACGTAATGATATTGGACATGGCGCCCATCGCTATTTCCATGGTACATCGAGAGACGTTAGGACATATGACATGGCGCCCATCGTTGACTCTGTGACACGTGTATGGATAAAAGAACATTCCCAGTGTGATGTCTCAAGGAAACATGATAAACATGCATGTATCATGGGAGGCTGACAATAACAGATGAACCAGACAAACCAGTCACCGAAATCGTGAGCAACGACTCTACGTCACCGGAATACGATGACACGCAGTTATTCAAGTCACCCACCCTGACCACCCGATCCCCAAGCCACAAAAATGAGTGAGTGAGTGAGTTTGGTTTACGCCAATTTTAGCAATATTCCAGCAATATCACGGCGGGGGGACACCAAAAAATGGGCTTCACACATTGTACCCATGTGGGGCCTTCAACGTGACGAGCAAACACTAGGCTACGCCACCGCCCACAAGCGAAAATGAAGAGGTGCTGGTTGGTTTCTGATCCTAGTAGTACGGGAAAGTTTGCGAGCACTTTGAAGTGAAGATGTCTCCGTGTACCTAGAGCATTCACATTGACCACATGTTGTAGTTTTAACATTGGAACAATATGCGAGTCCATTCTGGAGTCGCACTGTGGTGATATTGGTTGAGTATCTCTAAAAACTGCGAAGAGGAGCATGGTGCAATAAAAGATCAAAATATGCAAATCGATAAGCATATCGAATGTTGTAATTAAGAGCTAAATGGCAAAAGAATGCTGGTACACATGTTTGTTCTATTTGGGAGGTGGGATATCTTTGTGACTAAAGCGTCGCTCATCACGCTTTGATTCCCCACATAGGTACGTACAATGCGTGAAGCCCATTTCTGGTGTCCCCCGCCGTGACATTGCTGTAATATTGCTAAAGGCGGCGTAAAACTATACTCATTAAACCACTATAAATATGATTGTTTCCGATGCACCTGTATTTAATATCAAAGTTCAGAAGAAGAAACACCCGATTGTCAAGTGTGTGATTGGCATTAAAAAAGTTGCCATGTACATGCAAAAGCCCAACAATTTATCAGATTATGGATAACAGCTTGTTTGGTAAATTGTACGACATTTGGATGTAAACTCTTCCTGTTCCACGTTGGCAAGAGTATAAAAATCTACATCGGAACGCTGCTATATGCAATAAACCAGATGTGGTTATCCATAAAAGTTTAAGCTACCATTCAGGTTGAAAAGGTTATTTTCTTATCGATGACACGTTTGCATTAGACATTCTCCAGTGTATGATGTTATGACTAAATCAGCTTTTAGTGGGTTATGCCTATAAAACCAGCAAATAATCGTCCATACACACATGTGCATGCACGTAACTAGATAGATACAACATGCTTGAACGCAACGCTGGACCCCAATTCATTTCACCTCGTTTAACAGTAAAGTAGGAACTGTTATTTTTATGCTAAGGGACGCAACTCTGTAAGGCCCGACTGTGACCGCCCGAGGCAACCGATCCACCTATGTCCTAGACTAACTCTTAGTCCCTGAATATATATTGTAACAAATAAACCCATTGAAATTGAAAAGGAGCTCCAGTGAGTTGGGACATTCAGAGCCTGGGAAATCTAGACTTGCTTCATTTAGGGCTTTAGCACTGTAGGGAGGGCGAGGGAGTAGGGAAAATATAATTGTTCAGGGACAGTGAGACAGGCTACCTATGTCCCTGCGCTACAACAAATCGCATAAACTCCGCCCTTTGTAAACAAACACATTCGTCGCATTTCAACGTTTCCCTTTGAGTAGCAGAGGAAAACATAACGAACGAGTTAAGCTTGTTTTCATAATGCACACCACCTATCCCCACGAGGCACAGGTACTTACACAGCCTGACAACATAAGTATCCCATCACCATGCACAATCACGTCACAAGTGTGTCCCATATGTCTACAAACTGCACACCCCCAACCCAGGGGCCGGCTTACATCGGTCTTGTGGACAACGCGTGTCATTCACAACTAAATGGACACTGGCGGTTTCACCTGACGGCGCACGCCCAATAACGAGGCTTTCATGTGGCTATGTATAGCGTGGTAACACCTTGTGAACAGCATACAGTCAAGCTGAACGAACCGATGCAATGCTGACCCACATCTTCTCTACCTGCTGACGTCAGGACGCAAACAGTTCAGAAGGTATAGTGTATTTATTTCACAGACTTGCAACGTCTCAAAATTTTGCTGAGCATTTTTGTGTACATCGTATTCAGTTGCCACATATACGAAGCCACAGCTGTCATGGCGAGCCGCCGATCGAAGTCGAGTCGAGTCGATGTGTAAATGTCCCGTGTGGACTTGGGAATTTGCCAGTTCGTTGTATATTACGTAACGTATGTTTATAGCCTATGGGTACATAAAGTCGGCTGTACCCCTAAGCCATATTGATTGGTGGAGAGTGTCTTTAACTGTATAAATGTGTTTCAAATGTGCAGCTTCCGGGTCCATCAATTTGACAACACTGGTCAGCAAGCCGTTACATACTGTATAGTCGCACTTTTACTTCTCTGCAGGCGGCTAATCAAACGTATTTGTGTCTTACATGAAATGGTGAATGTGTGATACTTATCTACTGGAAAATATTCCCTTTCGCCCCGTCCTGTTTTCCTCATTGTAAACAGCGTATGTGTTATATACTTGATACAGCTCACACAACATGATTTTCATCAACCTGCTCCAGCTTGCCACAACATGCACGTCTATCGCACCGAAATGTGAACATTCTGTGAACAATAGGTGTAGTGAATCTAGTGATCTTTAGCACTTTCTAAGTTTTAAGGACTCAGTTAAGGATCCGAATATCGTTATTCCAAGCATGCCCTTGTCTAAGCTATACGTCCATGTAAAATCGAGCTCTGAATTGGTCTTCAGCAACCCATGCTTGTCGTAAGAGGCGACTAACAGGATCGGTCGGTCAGGCTCGCTGACTTGGTTGACACATGTCATCGGTTCCCAGTTGCGTAGATCGATGCTCATGATCCTGATCACTGGATTGTCTGGTCCAGACTCTAGTATTTACAGACCGCCGCCCTATAGCTGAACACTGCTGAGTGCGGCGTAAAACTAAACTCACTCACTCACTATAGTTCCCTGTCCCTGACTGTACTCATGTAGATATTCTCTAAAACAAGCCCCCACCGTGTTGTTCATCGTGTGCAAGTGAAAAAGGAAAATGTCAGTGTTTGTTCGGCCAACCATGTCGAATTATCGTAAGCCATCCAACGATGGAAAATGTATTATAGAATGGTCCACACCAACAGCAAGGTCAAGCGTGAAACTGACACTGCTTTGATCAATGTCCGATGTTGTTATCATACAGCTATAAGCATATACACCCCATGGAAACTTAACAGTTGGTCTGTTATTGAAATAGTTTCCACTGTCGTCAGTTGAAAAGCTCAAGGGACCTCCAACCTGTTGCATTCAAGTGTGAAAGGGGGAACGTAATGTATCGTAAGAGGTCATTGTCCATGACCTCGGTAATGAGTGATTGTGATAACATGATTACCTTTTCAGTCGACACAGACGTCATGTCAGCATTCACGTTTAAACTAACATATTTTAATTTTTATGATTCGAAAATGACAGACTATTGTGTCACTGAATTAGATATCACGCAGGGGTGGTCTATGAGGAATCTCTTTGAACATTTCATTGTAATATTTTTCATAAGTATTTCGAAACCATTGTATGCAGAAATATGACGATAATGTTTGTCGATTATTTCTTGAGGGGGGAATAGGACTATACTCGACATATTTCACATGTATATCTACCAAGGTGCGCGATGCTACCGCGTGTTTAACTGACAGGTATATCTACCCAGGTACACGGTGCCACAACAATAATCATCATGCATCACGATGTTTAACTGACAGGTATATCTACCCAGGTACACGGTGACACGACGATAATCGTCACGCATCACCATGTTTAACTGACAGGTATATCTACCCAGGTACACGGTGACACGACGATAATCGTCATGCATCACCATGTTTAACTGACAGGTATATCTACCCAGGTACACGGTGCCACAACAATAATCATCATGCATCACCATGTTTAACTGACAGGTATATCTACCCAGGTACACGGTGACACGACGATAATCGTCACGCATCACCATGTTTAACTGACAGGTATATCTACCCAGGTACACGGTGACACAACGATAATCGTCATGCATCACCATGTTTAGCTGACAGGTATATCTACCTAGGTACACGGTGATATAACGATAATCGTCATGATCACCATGTCTAACTGACAGGTATATCTACCCAGGTACCCGGTGACACAACGATAATCGTCATGCATCACGATGTTAGTCTGACAGGTATATCTACCCAGGTACACGGTGACACGACGATAATCGTCATGCATCACCATGTTTAACTGACAGGTATATCTACCCAGGTATACGGTGATACAATGATAATCGTCCTGCATCACCATGTTTAGCTGACAGGTATATCTACCCAGGTACAGGGTGATTCAACGATAATCGTCATGCATCACGATGTTAGTCTGACAGGTATATCTACCCAGGTACAGGGTGATTCAACGATAATCGTCATGCATCACGATGTTAGTCTGACAGGTATATCTACCCAGGTACACGGTGATACGACGATAATCGTCCTGCATCGCCATGTTTAGCTGACAGGTATATCTACCCAGGTACAGGGTGATTCAACGATAATCGTCATGCATCACCATGTTTAGCTGACAGGTATATCTACCCAGGTACACGGTGACTCAACGATAATCGTCATGCATCACCATGTTTAACTGACAGGTATATCTAACCAGGTACACGGTGACTCAACGATACTCGTCATGCATCACCATGTTTAGCTGACAGGTATATCTACCCAGGTATACGGTGATACAATGATAATCGTCATGCATCACCATGTTTAGCTGACAGGTATATCTACCCAGGTACACGGTGACACAACTATAATCGTCATGCATCACCATGTTTGACTGACAGGTATATCTACCCAGGTACACGGTGACACGACGATAATCGTCATGCTTCACCATGTTTAACTGACAGGTATATCTACCCAGGTACACGGTGCCACAGCGGTAATCGTCACGCATCACCATTTTAACTTACATGTATATCTATGTAGGTGCACTTTGCCACAACGATAATCGTCACGCATCACCATTTTTAAAGACATGTATATCTATCCAGGTACACGGTGCCACAACGATAATCGCCATGCATCACCACGACATACCTTTCATTGACGATGACGCATTGCATGCCGGGCAAACGCAGAACCACGTCGACCAAAACCATTCCTCGCAAACTACTGCTCCAGAACAACGTACAAGTAAGTTAAAGATAACTTAAGTTGTTCGATTGCTGAACTTAACGATGCCAGCGACAGTGCTATCCGTATGTGGTGACATGAAAAATGGCATACTTGAAAGAGTACAAGTATGTTCCAAATTTCCAATATCTAGTCAACTAAAACAGCAGTCATCGAATGAAGAACAAGAGAAGAATTTTTTTCAAACGAATTTTAATAATACACGAATTTAAGCTTTCGTTCAATCGTACGATAGTTCGTGCAGTAGTTCGTTCATCCAGTTATTGTTATACTCTCTTTGATTATATCAGATACATAATTGGCGTCATGTTGTTTTAACCAATAGTTTAGTATTTCATTATTACACTTAGAATGAATATTCGAGATGCACGTATAAATCGTTCTTGATTATTAACATAAACTCACGGGCGAAAGAATTTATTGTTATATCTTTTATCGTAAACTAAGTGATTTTTATATCTGTAGTTCACACTTTCATCATTCAGAATGTTGTAAATCCATTAAAATTCCAAATATGATTGTTAAATTTCCAAAATCTGAGTCTGTTGTTTTGTGACATGTTAAAAAAGCGAGGTGACGTTTCTTTCGCCCGTGAGTTATCTCTTGTTCATCAGTCTAGACGAATAAGTCGCGCTGAAGATAAATACCATAAAATTAATAATATTATGTCATGTTATGAGAGATAACTGATGTATGTGTATTGGATCACCCGTGGCATTGTATGACTGAATGCTTTCATTTTGTGTATGCTTTTTGACAGATAACGTGCCGCGCTCCTCCGAAAATTCCCTTCAAATCGTACCCTATGTTCCACCAAGGACGCGACGCTTTACTGACCTGCAATACGCTGCCAAAGACGGGAACTTGCAACTGGTGAAGCAGCTGTTGTCAGTGGGTCGCACCGACATAGAAAGTATAGGTGAATATGGTCGAACTGCAGTGATGTTGGCAGCAGAGAAAGGACACAGAGTCGTGTTCGACGTCCTCGTGAACGCCGGTGGTAGTATGACTGTGATCGACGATGACGGCAACAACATCCTTCATCTGGCTTGTCTTGGAGGCAACGTGGACATGGTGAGGGCTGTTCTGTCCCGAAACGTCGTTGACATCAACAGTAGAGGTCAGTTTGGACGAACACCTGTGATGGTCGCAGCAGAGAAGGGTTGTAAAGGGATGTATAACATGTTGGTTAGTTTCGGTGGGAATGAAGCCCTTGTTGATGATGATGGTATGAACACCCTTCACGTCGCCTGTCTTGGAGGCAGGGAGGATATGGTGCGATACATCATTTCAAGGAACATCGTGGATATCAACAGCAGAGGTCAGTATGGGAGCACCCCTCTGATGCTGGCGTCAGAGAAGGGCCATAAAGGAATATTTGACTTGATTGTAAAGAGGGGCGGCAATGTGCGGACACTGGATGACTTGGGGAACAATATTCTCCATATTGCCTGTTGTGGTGGCCATGTGAGGATGGTCAGATATCTGATTTCTAAACGCTTCGTTGACATCAACAGCAGAGGACAGGACGGAGGAACTCCCATAATGTGTGCAGCAGAGAAGGGGCACAGGCTTGTCTTTGACTTGCTTGTCAGAAGAGGAGGTAACGTTTCATTGTTAGACGATAAAGGTGATGACATCCTTCACGCGGCCTGTTTGGGGGGTAATGTTGAGATGGTCAGGTACATCCTGTCCAAATACAGGATTCCTGTGAACAGAAGGGGGCAGTTCGGACGGAACCCCGTCATGGCGGCAACGCAGCAAGGTTCTAAAGACCTGTTTGACTATCTTGTACGAAAAGGAGGCAACGTGATTCATATCGACTACGAAGGAAACAACATTCTTCATGTTGCGTGTATAGGGGGCCATGTTCAGATGGTAGAACATGTCCTGTCACTGGGATTTGGCATTGATATCAACAGCAGAGGTCAAAAGGGCAGGACAGCTGTGTGGGTTGCAGCACACATGGGACCCAAAGACGTTTTTGACTTTCTCGTACGGGAAGGAGCCGACGTTTCCCAAGCGGACGACGACGGTAACAACATCCTACATGCCGCATGTCTTGGTGATAATGTAGAGATGGTGAGGCACATACTCGCTAAAAAGATCGTGGATATTAATGTTAGGAATAAAAATAAGTCGACAGCAGCTATGCTCGTCAACAATGATGGACAACGGTCAATATTTGATATGCTCGTCGCTCACGGGTGTGCAGTGGATCTAGATTAGGACATAAGAGTCCTGTCGAGTTGTAATGTTAAATAATATGATATGTTTAATGCCATCATGATAATCTAAAACGAACGGAACACAGATGTAGATTGAATGTCTCTGTCAGTGGACCAGGATGAAGCCAATATGTCGGGTTGTGTCTGTCGTCAACACTCCAGCAATATCATCAATATCATGGCAGTCTGAACAATATCATATTCTAAACCGGTGAAGCAAATTGTAAGTATCGATCTGTCTAGATTGCTATTGTGTGACTGATAAACACGGGTGAGTCATACATAATTATAAAATGTTTGTTCATTTCCAACTAAACGCCAGATGTCGAAGACAAGGTCTCTATAACAAGCCTGTATGTGTTATGAAATATATCATATAATAGAAATGAACTCCCGTCGGTGACTAATATTTCCTTTGGCGAGGAATATGTCTTGCGAAGTATTTAAGAACAGTAAAGAAAAATCCAGGGGATAATCAACAAAAACATTCATTAGCGAATAAGGGCGCCGATCCACAGAGCGTTCGTAGCACTACGACATTCGTAAGCCTATGATAAAGTATAGAGTTGGGACAGGTCGTAACTTTACGAACGCTTTGTGGATCGGGACCCAGGGCCCTTATTCTTGAAACGTTCGTAGCCCTCCGAATTCTTAACTTTGATCGTAGCCAATGTGTTACCCGGTAGGGTGAGATGGTAATGTGATAGTTGACCTAGCAGTAAATCGGTACCCGTAAGGGTGAGATGGTAATGTGATAGGTGACCTAGCAGTAAATCGGTACCCGGTAGGATGAGATGGTAATGTGATAGTTGACCTAGCAGTAAATCGGTACCCGGTAGGGTGAGATGGTTATGTGATAGTTGACCTAGCAGTAAATCAGTACCCGGTAGGGTGAGATGGTAATGTGATAGTTGACCTAGCAGTAAATCGGTACCCGTTAGGGTGAGATGGTAATGTGATAGTTGACCTGGCAGTAATATCGGTACCCGGTAGGGTGAGATAGTAATGTGATAGGTGACCTGGCAGTAAATCGGTACCCGGTAGGGTGAGATGGTTATGTGATAGTTGACCTAGAAGTAAATCGGTACCCGGTAGGGTGAGATGGTAATGTGATAGTTAACTTGGCAGTAAATTGATACCTGGTAGAGTGAGATGGTAATTTGATTGTTGGCCCAGCATACTGTATACTGTATAGAAGAGTATGAATATGGGGTTCACACTGATACTTTGACCATATTAATATTAAATATAATGATATTAATGATATGATATTGTGAGATACAGAATTTGGCGCATTGCCATACATCAACATTTATAGCATTATTATAGGGTTGTACAAAAGAAAAATAAACTACATCTTTTTAACTATGTCAAACATTCGTCAAATACAAAACAAATGTGGAGCATATATATCACGTATAATTCAGGGCATGAATTACTTCCAAACCCTTTGGCAAGAGTTCAGAAACACTTTCCACGCAGCATAGTAAGAAATGAATTGATCCTGTCCCCACCGCTGACATAGTGATTCATACCCCAGAGTATTAAAGGATATAACTGGCGCACAGTCGGATTTTATCTGTGGCTACAACGCATTCCTAGCCGTCAGCGACAGCCGTGCAGGATGAAAACGTACGGCATTACACCAGACTATAGTGTCATGCAGTGTCAATGATGAATGCATAATGCGCTCAACACAGCTGAATCGTTTCTATTCATACGAATTCCTAGCACACTTTATCCAATATTCATCTGCAGGCAGGTGTGATAAGACCGTATAATATACCAACACAGGTGTATTTACATGTATTCATACTACTCAATATATGCTAAGGTGACATGACATATTGTGTTATTTGAAAGAATCGCATGTTCTTTAACTTTAGTGAGTGGTATACATAACGTGCTTGACAAATAAAAACACGTTGGTGGGCGTTGCCCCAAATGTACTGCTGATTCAAACGGGACAAAACTTTTCAAGGACATGTTACAGAGAAATGTAACAGTACTCTGTAACCTATCAGCGAATACAAGACGTAGTTGTATTTATAACTGTGAAATATACTACCCATCAAATGTTTAGACACACTCACTAAATGAATTTCTTCACTAACTTGGGGGAACACTGCAAACCTTACGCTGATGAATTACATGTGGATCATGCATCAAATTGCTGAAAAAACATGTGCAAATATCGTGCATGTGAACAGCTGCGATTTGGTGTCAAGATTTGTTCATAATTCGCCAGTTTCATCATTTGTTGAACTCATAACAATAATCTTTTCAACGTTACGAATTTGTTTTACAATACATCAGTTCATGTGTAAACAGCACCTTTAAACAGTATGGAATATTTTGCAAAATCTAGTTAAGAACAGTTGACTAAAGTAAGTGGCTATGTTTACACTAGTGAGTCTAAACTTTTGATGGGTAGTATACAATGGGACATTTTCGCTGCATGCCATATCATATTATTTGGTGCGAGGGATTTTATGGTGCTTCCTTCAATGACGAAATCACGACGATATTGTCATGAAATCTTTGTTCCTTGCCTGTACTGTTATTCTTATGACGTTATCATATACCAATAACGATTTCCGGTTTAGACTGAACTTGAAATGTGAGACGATTCTGTAATAATTTGACGGGTTATTAATATAATGTATGGCGACATACGAGTGTTATACATTGCAATGCGACGAAGGTCTTCCAACATGACAGCTGTGATCTATGTCTTTGTTTCCTATTCCGTGTGTTAACACGATCTGTGATATCGCCCTATATATTTAACCAAAATAAACGATTGATTTTCGGGTTTTGCGTTTGTGGTGACTGTACATTTTAGTACTCTACCCCGACGAATGCACATCAGGTACGTTGTATTGCGAGGAGAGAGCGCAAAAGCAACAATTGGGAGCATCCATTTGATTTCAAGTAGGGGTGGGGATTGGAGGTTGGGGTTGAAAAGGTACACAGTTGTTCTTCTTTATTATTATGCCCCACCCCACCCCCACCCCCAAAAATATAGCTTGCTTCAGTTGCTGTTTGAACTATAAATTCATTTCTAGTAACTGTATTATCTCGTTTTCAAATTCTAATTTCAATTTTCAAACTTTTTGGCAAATGTCCAAACGTTGGAATGATTGAGCTGATAATGAACTTGAACAAACAGATTGTTTTTTAAAAAACAAAACAATCCCTCCCATACAAATCAAATTGAATTTCTCTCAGAGTTATTGATAAAACCACATCCTCTAATTCACACCCTCATTATAATGCTACCCAACATTTTATGCCTAAAACTACAAACAACAATTGAAACACCACACCGCCATCGTTGACATTGTGTCGTCTGCTCCAAAACCACTCCGCCGCTAAGTCGCATGTGCAAGCAGTTATTTGTCGTAGGGTGTGAATTAGCGGAAGGTGACACATTCGATAATCGGCTAATTGTAAACAAATGTGTTCTTACTCACCCGAAACGCCATGTCTTTTTTCACAATTCCTCAGTTCCATCTTGGTGAACTCAGCACCGAGTCCGTGAGTTGTGTTTCATTCTTTGATTCATCAACTGTCTGTTTGTAAACACAAACTTAAAGTCCCGCTTCAATCTGTTATCGCTGGTTATATTCATCCGAATTCCGGTACAAATGAGGCACTGAATCCCACTTCGATGTTGTCATATTCCAGAATATAAATATATTCGCTTAAAAAACTCGAATACATTTAGAATACACCCAACCTTGACCCTGTTTCGAATCCCAACTGTGCTTTCGGATGACATTCGGTTGGACCGCTCCAACTAAGGGGGACAAAGGTTGTGACAGACGTCGTATAATGTTATACTCCTCTTATTTACATAGTGCCAAACGTACACGTACCTATCAGTTATCAACTCGTATACCATGTGATATCAGATCAATCTTCCTTAAAGATATTAACTTTTTATGTGTCGCCTACCATCCACATGACACCCCTGTTGAATATTGGACTGTCCTTGGGCGCATGCTGCAAAGCGCACTTGATATTTCTCGTGATGTTGTTCTTGTTTGGTGACCTTATAAAGGACACATCGAGAGAAACTGTAATCTATTGCGTAATATACCGCTAAATAGCTTGCTAAAGAAAAGTAAGAACTGTTTTATTCAAATATGTGACTGACATATCTGACCAAAAGCACACTAAACTGTCAGCGCCAGACTCTATGGCAAACCCCGGTTTAATAATTCCAGAAGTCAACATCGATAGCCAAGCTGTCTCAGAGAAAGAGCCATCCATTCCGCTAGTATCGGTGACTTTAACAAATTATACAAGAACACAAACATTTGAAATTGGTTTATTGACACGGTAAAAGTTATAAAAAGTTATTTTCAAATATATATGGATTACAAAATATGTAACACACCAATAAAAATATTACTTATTTCTGAACATAATTACTGACATACATTTTGAAAGATGGACGAATGGCGACTTACACGTCATCGTTATGCCGATGCAAGCTCAGACAAACCTTCAGGTTTGATGACACTCACAAGCCTGAAGCCCTTAGGGGCCGTTCATAACTTATGGAGAAGCATATACAATATTAATGACTCCCCTAAAATTTAAGTACAAAGTTAGTGACTCCCACCCCCTCCATGCATGTCATGTACAAAATCCCACATACACATACACACACACACTTACAATGTATTTTAAGAATATTTCTTCAATATTTATATGAACAAAATTGCTGATACCCGCCACCTCCTAGAACAAAATGGGTGAACACCCCCCCCCCTCCCCTCCTTAAAATCATAATCATCATCGCACACACCCATCCCCCTCTATGAGTAGCATTAATTAGGGGTGGGTATTGCAGCGAATTTTCATATTGCGATATACTGCGATGCGAAAGCATATATTGCGATATGTAAAGCAATATATTGCAAGAAGTATTTTAACAAAAAAATACTTATAATCGAGTTAATGCTTGATTTATAAAGCAATAACACAACAAAATCACTATGCTTGATTAAAGGTAACATCCAACCCAAAAATCAAACATAATTAAAACACAATTATCACTTATTCATGACATATAATATACATTGCTGGTTATGAAAAAACATATAAACAAAATTATAAGCGTACAATCGCAAATCAAAAGTGCAATATTGTGTACTTGGGTTTACTTCACAAGAAACGAAGCAGCCGGGATACCGAACCCAGTCAGAGCGGGTGGGTGTGCACTCAAGTGTAACGGCTGGTTCATTTGCAGATGCTCTCACGGCTCATTGTGTGTGTATATATAGAGATGCTCGGTTTTGTAAATACATGCTCATTTTTTGTGTATACCATTTTGCAATCAACAGACATCATAACATGTCATGTGTTCAAGTATCACACCTGCCTGTCTGTGTAATTACATAATGTGACAGAGACCGAACTCGGGCCATAAATCAATGCATTTTGTTTATGTTGTATAGCCTGATTGGTATTAAGTTCAAATTGTATGTGGTCAGTGATCGCAGTTGTGTATTGAATATTGTCATTAGCAGACAGGCAGGCAGACACACAGGTGTCAAT